TTTTTTAAAAATGCTTATTTTCTCGGAAAATATTTCATACAAAAGTTGTAGGAGGACAAATAATGATAAAGTCAATTTTTGATAAAATCAAGTTTTCAAAGTCACATAAAATTTATTACCATGTTTTAAAATTGAATTGTGATTCCTCTTACATAATATAATTCCTCCAGTTATTATGCATATAAAAATATTCAGATAAAGTTATAAAAAATCAATAGTTTTCGAGATATTTTATACTTTATTCTGACATATTTTAACATGAAATAGATATCTCATAAACTATTGATTTTGTGATAACTGCAATACTTTTATATGCAGAATAACTGGAGGAATTATATTACATAAGAGAAATCATGAGATTTTATTCTTAAAAAATGGTGATAAACTTCATGTGAAAAAATTAAAAAATCGATTTTACCATTATTTATCCCTCTTTAGACCCTACAACTTTTGTATGGAACATTTTTAAAAAAAATTCATTTTTCCAAACAAATACCTGATACGGATGCTTTGTTACATCCTGCATATACCTACGTGCGTGTGTGTGTGTGTGTGTGTGTGTGCGTGGGTGTGTTGCGTGCGCGCACGCGCGCGTGTGTGCGTGCGTGTGTCTGTGCGTGCGTGCGCGTGTGCGTGTACATACATACATATATACATACATATTATAATTTGCAATTTCTATTCCACGCCATTATTTATAATTTTAGACTGGGCATGTGATTGGAACGGTTCCAAGATTGCCGAAGAAAAATATATTGATAGCATAAATAAAGCTGCATATAATAAAAGGAAGGCTCACAATCAAGCTGAGCAAATTTCGAAAAATAAGAACGCTAAAAAGACTGTCACCTTAGGCCAGGCGCAACAGACAATTAAACGAGGGCAAGAACAGACATCGTTGACATCGTTACCAAGCGATACAACATCAACTTCTGCCGAGTGAGTGTGGTCGGCCATCAAAAATACTATTATATACTAATTATATACTAATTAAAAAGTTATAAGTTAAAGGTTATACTTTGGATCAAATACATAATTATTGAATGTATCTTATATCTGTCACTAGTTTTATTTATTTATCTGCGCCTCATTAATTTATATTTCCCGTTTTGTTTCTCGTGATACATTTACGGTGTATGAAAGGGATGTGATTATATTTTAATTACTAGGCCTTGAAATGGTATCTTGTTTCTTGACACTTAATTTCAACAATAATTGACTGTTGACATTGATTTGACTTTAAGTATTTCTCAAATACTGAATTTCAACAACAATGAATAATTATTAGTACGGATTATTGGAGCCTTTTATATCCATATCGCAGCCATAAGGTGTCGATAAGATTTTTCTATAAAATGTTAAGATCTGCTCATAACAGAAAATATTAGGAAGAGAAATAAATATTAAATATTAAGCGTAGTAAAGAAGAGGAAAGAACATATTCTTTCCTTCTTTCCTACGCCTAATATTTAATATTTATTCTTATTCCTAATATTTCTTCTGTGCGTAGACCTTTAGAGTCTAAGGAGGGTTCATGGTGACCCCCGAAAATAGAGTCTACAGAGGGTACACGGAGGCTTACGGAAAGAGTGTACGAAGGATCTATCGAGGGTCTAGGGAGGGTCTAGGGAGGGTATTTCGAGGTTTTATCCAGCCAGCGACGTCGAATCTACGAATTGTGGGGAGGGTGAACGGAGAGTCGCCAGACTCCGCGTAACCTCCGAAGACGTTTGTTGTAATATAAAACACGGGTATAAGTCGAAATCGGGAAATAACTCTGAAGAAAATGCTACTTTTATTGATTAGCTCATACATCGACGACGCCCGTCGTGCAACTGTCCCCGTAGGCTCTCGCAGCCCCGGCGCTCTCATCGCTCGCCAAAAAGAAAACCAAAATGAACGTCGCGTCGAACAAAAGTCGCTCGCTTAGCGCTCAACCGTAATCCAACATCCTCCCACCATTGAGATGGCTACAAATCGGTCATCTCAATACATACATGACACGACAAAATAAAAAAAGAAAATCCTAATACAGGAATAGAATACATAAAAACAATATCGCAAAGCAACAAAACAGTCAAATTAAAAGTATGAGAATGACAAGAGACTCAAGTATAAGACAGTCTTTCTGGGGGTTTAACTTTTCTCCCAGCTCTCGTTACATACGATTTATTATCGCAACTGCGTTTATCATACGCTCCGCTAATAACTGGAGCACCACTTCTGGATTCCTTGAATCTCCTGGTATCCTTGCATTTGTCCGCAATAATTTCGTCCACCTTAGACTCACTCTTCTCATATCTAAGTTCCAATGGATAAAGTCTTTGTATTGGACGAATCAATTCGCCTCTGGCAGTAGTCAATCGAACGATTCTAATATTATTATCTTTACCTGCGATTAATTCCTTGACGCGCGCCAGAGGCCAATCCAAACGTTTTACATTTTCATTCTCGATTAAAACTATATCGCCTACTTCGATAGCTTGCACAGTTTTTGCATTAGACTTTCGGTGAATCAATGCACCTAAATATTCAGTTCGAAATCTTTGGCGTAAATCTTCTTTGATTTTCTGACGATACAAGTATCTTTTGGATAAATCGCATTTCTCTATCTTATCTAAATCTAGTACTCCTATTTCCTTTATCTCTTGCAAAAACATAGACGGAGTTATAGGTATAATATCCTGTTTGCTTTCGGAGAGGAAAGTAATTGGTCTGGAGTTAATCACCGCTTCGCAATCTAATAAGACTGTTAACATTTCTTCGTAATCAAGACAAGATCTTTTAAGCGTTCGTCTCAATAATCGTTTCAAGACCCCATTCAATCGTTCCCAAAATCCGCCCCACCACGCTGCAGATGGAGGATTGAATGTCCATTGAATTCGTTCGGTGGCTAACGTTCGGGACAACTTTTCAAAATCCAGTTGTTTAAACATATTATTCAATCCAACAAAATTCGTGCCATTGTCACTGTATATCACACTCGGCTTTCCCCTACGCGCAATGAAACGTCGAATAGCCATAAGAAACGCCGCAGTGGACAACGATGTCACGAGCTCAAGATGTACTGCACGGAAAACCGCACACGTGAACAAACAAATCCATGATTTTTGGCCGCCTTTAAGATAAACGGGCCCGGTGAAATCTACACCTATAACCTCGAATACGGCCGCGTCTTTTACCCGATCTAAGGGTAATGGTGCATTAATTGTCTGGAAAGCCTTCGCATCATGTCTGCGACAATTTACACACTTCGTAATCACCGATCGAATTACTTTACGACCGCCTATGATCCAATACTCTTCACGCAATGCGTTCATTAAAATCTCTATTCCGGCGTGGTTTAAGTTTTCGTGCTTTTCTTTGATAATCAAACTAACGATTCGATGTTTACCGGGAAGAACGATAGGACACTTAAAATTATAAACGTCGTTGCGCAGTACAATTTTTGAACTTAATCGAATTAAATCGTCTTTATCTTTGAACGCGTTGAGATGTCTCACACGTATATCCGTTTCGTCAGTAAAACATTCGGTTTGAATCAATTTTAATAACAGAGTACGTGACGTTTGAATTTCTTTACACAAAAGAGCATCCCTAATACGACTCTCTTTTTTCTCTCGACAGTTACAATAAAATCGTCGTACATACGCAAACACTTATCATTTTTGCAAAGTTAGAAAATCTACTGAGAAATTCGTTCTCTTCCGCACCCTTTCCTTCTAACGCTACGAGAGTACAAACAGATTTTTTGTTTATCGCGGTTCTTTTTAATTCTTTACTAATTTCGTCTTCATCGCACGACAATTCTCTGCCCATTGGCCATTTATCTGCCGTCTCATATAGCCATACGGGTCCCTCCCACCATCTCGCAGACATAATTTGTTTCGCCGTACAGCCTCTCGATGGTAAGTCTGCGGGATTCAAACGACCCTGTACATGATACCAACACGCGGGATCCGATAGCATACGTATCTCTTTTATTCGGTTATACACAAACGTTGCCCAATTACATTCTCTTTGGATCCATGCTAACACAGTCGAGGAGTCGGTCCAATAAAAGAGTTTAAGCGTTTTAAAATGAAGCGCATCTAATACATTTCTCGCTAATCTGGCGCCTATTGTCGCTGCTAACAACTCCAAACGCGGTATACTGGTTCGCGCATCCGTATTACCTTTTCTAGCAGGCGCAACTCGCGTTTTCGCTTGTACAAAGTGAACCTTTACACCCTCAAAATTTTCAACGCGAATGTAAATAACTGTGGCATACGCGTCTTTACTAGCATCACAGAATATGTGCAAACTTACGTTATCCGACTCATTGTCAGATATTTGTCCTAAAATACATCGTGTAATTCTAATCTTATTAAGCTCCTTCAAATCTTCCAACCACTTCGAAAATCTATTCTTTAACTTGTCTGGAACTTCATCATCCCACTTTAAATCTTCACTCCAGGTTTCCTGTAACAGAATTCGTGGGCACAGCATAACAGGACATACAAAACCTAATGGATCAAAAATACGGTGCGCCGACGAAAGAATCTTTCTTTTCGTCATTTTCGAATCGTGTAACTCTGGAAAATCTGGTATTTTTATTGCTAACGTGTCAGCCTTTTTATCCCAGGTAACGCCTAATACTACTGTCTGGTTGTCTTGGGAATTATCATCACTATACTCCCACCCTCGAAGGTCAAAACCAGCCATGTTCATCAGTCTTTTTGCGTCTAGGATGAAGTTATTCAAATCTTCTCGCGTATTCACACTAGTTACTGAATTGTCAACGTAAAAACTTTCTAACAATCTTTTACTATTTAGCGAAACATCGTTATCAGACTTCGCATAATTATTCAAATGAAAGTTCAGAATCGCGCTCAGAATAAAGGGACTCGAGGTAACCCCGAAAACGACTCTACAACGTCTAAAAACAATTATATTTCCTCCTGCATCGTACCATAAGAAACGCAAGAAATCTCGATCTCTTTTATCGAAACTGATTTGCAAAAAAGCCCTTTTAATATCAGCTATTATTCCGATTTTATTTTCCCTAAAGCGCAGAAGAATGGACGCGATCAATTCTATCAAATTTGGACCCTTATGAAGGCACTCGTTGAGCGATGGCGACGTCCGTTCCTTGGCTGATGCGTCGAACACCGGTCGAATTCTCGTCGTGCTGCCCTCCTTGACCACGTGTCGGTGAGGTAGATAATAGCCCCCATCCTTTTCTTCTTGCACCGGGACACGCTCGATGATTCCCTCCGCCAGCCATTCGTTGAAAACCGCATCATAATCAGCATACAGATTTTCGGCCTTCAATTTTCGTTCCGTAGACTGCAACCGACGCATAGCCGTCTCCTTATTACGTGGCAAAGCAGGGTGACTCGGCAACCACGGCAACTGTATCTCGTATCGCCCCTCTTCGTTAACTCGCACGGTTTTCAGAAAAGCTTCTTGCATCTCGACATCTTTTTCCTTCTGTGTTTTCGTCTCGATCGGATCGCGTATTCCCAGAACGTCCAACGACCACATGTCCGCGATCTCTACCTTGTTTATAAACAGCGATATAGCAGTCGTCGCAGCACTCTCACTTGTTTTGGATTCGGGAACCTTCCCCATAACTGTCCAACCAAGACACGTTTCGATGGCAACTAAGCCGCCTTTCAGTACGTAAACACGGCCCGTATACAATTTGCCGGCCACGTCGGCACCGATGAGCACTGAAATCGACTCTCTCTTACTATGCCGATCACTCACATCAATGTCGAATTTTTCCAGCTCTCGATCCCACTCTCCGATTTTTATTAGCGGTACTCTTTCACAAATAACAGCCTGGCCCAACGCGATGAAATTACAGCAATATTTATTGTCCAGACTGCTCAAGCGAATCCGATATTTTTTGTGTTGCACCGCGTCCGTTTTTTGTCCACCGAAAAGGGAGTGTGTCATCGTCTGCTCGGCAATTGGCTCGTAGTCCAGGTGCTCGGCCGCTTCCTTGGTGACGTAAGATTTCTGAGATCCGGTATCAACAATTGCTCGAACAATATATTCCTTGTTTCCGTTCCGCAATTTCACGCACAACGTTTGCATTAACACTTCCGGATCACTCGAGAGGTTAGCCAGATTACACTCACTATTCGCTTTCTCAGAATCTTGCGATTTAGAATCAACCTTACTGTCCTTGTCCTTTTTCTCTATTTTAGGACACATCAAAAGCACATGCCGCATCGAACACCAGCTACAGTTCACTTTACTTCGGCACTGTTTAAAATTATGTCCTGCCTTTAGACAATTAAAACAAACGTTCTGTTTCTTCGCGTGATCTCGTCTTTCAGAGAGGCTCATTTTCCTGGCATTTTCACAACGCGCACTTTCGTGATTGGAATTGCAAAATATACACGCACTATCCTTTTCCTTCGTCGTCAGCAATCCCATTGCGGTCGGGACATCCTCCTCCTTCGTGTGTGTCTTCGATCTTCGCTTTTTCCCACTATCCGCATTACCCGTTGTTAAATCGAAGCCTTTGACCGCCATAGAAATCCGTAGTTCGTTTTGCACTTCTCCTTCCAAGAACTTGATAAGTTGCGTCAGTCGATCCTTGCACTGAGACGTCGCACTATCTCCACTCTGCAACGCGGCATTGTTTACAGAACTTCTCTGCCACGCGCGTAAAACGTCTTCCGGCAGCGATGACTCTACTAGCGGAAACAGCATCGCCGCACACTTATCCGTTGTGACGCCCAGAGATTCGAGCACTCTTAGATGTGACTCAATTTTATCGTACAAACTCGTGAGGGAAAAAGCCTTGGATTTCAACGCATTTTGTAAAACGAGTTGCAAAAGCTCGCGCACATATACTTCGATCTGTAGATCATCACGTCCAAAACGATTCTTCAGGCTGCTGATTACCTTGCTATAATTCTCGGCCGTAGGCGGATAACTTTTCACTAAATCGGCGGCACGAGAGTCCGGAACCATGGATTGTATGAGATATTGGAATTTATCTTCATTCGCGATATTCGCGTCTTCATGAATTTTCTTGAATAAACTCCAGATCTGTAGCCATTCCTGTACGTCTCCACCGAATTTAGCCAGCTCGATTTTCGGTAACTTGAACGACTTTTTATTATCTCCTGGTACGCCGTTTGTACTCCCCGATGGTTCCTGATTTTCCTTCGGATCGGTGTAATCAGCTATCTGCAACCTTGTTGCGAGGAACTGTTTTTTATACTGGTCTGCGTCGTCATATTCCTCTTGAATATCTGCATCCGTCGCGCTATCCGAATCAAACATCAGATGCATAAAGGCCTGTGAGCTTGCTTCCAAATCTCGCATCTTTGCTTCGAGTAATTGAAAGGCCACTATAATTTCTTGACGCGTGGCTTCCGATCCTTCACCTCTTAACGCATTCAGTGCGTTCAGCGCTTTGGTGAAGGCGCTACGGTGAGCCGTTCGCACTTTCTTCGTTTTATCCATTGCTTTTGGATACTATCGAAACTGTTATATCACGATCGACACCACTGTACCTCCCGTGTCCTGTCACGGTCGCCAAATGTTGTAATATAAAACACGGGTATAAGTCGAAATCGGGAAATAACTCTGAAGAAAATGCTACTTTTATTGATTAGCTCATACATCGACGACGCCCGTCGTGCAACTGTCCCCGTAGGCTCTCGCAGCCCCGGCGCTCTCATCGCTCGCCAAAAAGAAAACCAAAATGAACGTCGCGTCGAACAAAAGTCGCTCGCTTAGCGCTCAACCGTAATCCAACAACGTTAAATGGGTAAAAACTGCCATTTGACGAGTAAACGGAGGGTCTGCAACATAAACAAATGTCTATTATATGACCCTCCGTTCATTCTCCGTAACTCTCCAGAAGAGTGCGATGTCAGGCGTTAGGAGGGTCTATATTTCGACTCGGGTTTCACTAAGGGTGTTTACGTGTAGTAATCAGATTTGCAATCGGATTAGTCGCAGTCTAGAAAACCGACTAGAAGGAAAGTTCCCTAGACTAATCGGATTTATAAACATGTCTATGAAACGATCGGATTATATCGAATTAATAAGGAAGTGTAGGAAAACCCGCAAATTTTTCTCGTCGCAAAATTTTGAGAAGAAATATAAGAAAAGTAAGTATGTATGTACGCTTTGTTATTCTCATGGTAAAACTTCACAAACACGGACCCAGCCCCAATGACCTTGACCTTGGCATATGTTGTCAAGGTCACCTTACTGAGTAACCTTCAGAAAGTTTTAGCCGTCGCTCGTTGTTCGTTAAAAAGTTATGGAGAAAAGAAGTTTCGCAAATGCAATGTAGTTGACGATATCATGTACGTTTAGGATGGCCTCACGTGGAAAGTTTCTGACACCATATACAATTCAAAGAATGTATAAGTGTCTTTGATATTATTAAGCATACGAATGAGAGTAAGCTATCCACAGTAACATCACAACAAATCCCTTACAGTCGAATTTCACTCGTCAGCTTACGACTCGCGACGTGCTACTAACGTAAGATGTTACTTCACGAGTTTCTTCATCTCACGTATAAAAAAGATGAGCTCATTAGATATTTGAGTGAGAAAAAAGTAATTCGCCAAGACATTGAGTGTCCACAGTGCAAAAATATTGTGAATGTGACATACGAGTCAGACACACACGTTCTACACTGTACCAATAAATACTACAAGCAGATATTTACAATATATATTTTCCGTTATTATATCTGCCATATATCTATTCATC